CTAACAAATGGGTTTGGGTTTATCAGAGATGATAATAGGGATGGCACAAGGTAAGGCAAGGTTCAGGGTTCAGATCCGTTGTTGACAGGGTTGCTATGAATCAGAGTTGACTAGATAGTGCACCCAACGACACAGCTCTATTGTCTGGCTCAAAGATGAGCCACAGGGATGAGCTCAGTTCAGACTCGAAGAGTAACTAAGGATCATAATCTTGTTTGCTACACTAGTTTATTTCAGGTCAGTAAATATGATAGTTTTGCAGTTTTGTTCCACATTTTTCTCCCCTTTTGGCCAGGACCCTTTATTGTGATACCTTCCAGAGTAGTCAGCAGTATCTGGGCACCTTCTATTTCTCCTGGAGGCCTGCAAGGTCTATTAGTATGTTGGACTAATTGTTTCTGTGAATCTGATATTCTTCAGATAAAGACCAATCCAACCAACACACTCATTGTCAGGAGTTGGAGCTCTGAGCTGACCCTCCACTGGGTTTTCAGAAGCTGTAAATAGCATGGGCGGATCACTCAGCTTTTCTCGGGGAGCAGATGATGGTTCTAACTGCAAGAGGTGCCACTTTATGGGATGGCAGTGTAATTCCCTACTCACTTGGTCACCAGAGCTCCCTGGACAGATCAATATTTGCTTCTTAAAGAGCCACATGAAAGCTTTTAAGATCCCAGCTACTACTTGATGCAGTACAATATACAACATTGTCTTTGTGGATGACATGTTTATTTTAAATTTTTAATCTCTAGTTTCATTGCTTCTAGGTATGAAATGTGACCTGAACTCTTCTTTGAGCAACTTTCTGAAGTTTTTTCCCCTCCCTGTTCTTGTATGTAGTCAACATTGGTAACTCTTCACGTACGCTTGAAAAGATGGTAATGTTCACCCCAAGTTAGGAAATTGATATATATCTGCTTATTAGATTAATGATAAAAATTCTCAGGGTCTTCATTTTCTGCATTCATAGAATGCATATGCTCAAGACCTGTGAGTCTGGATGAACCCCTGTGAAGAGTGGGAGCGAACGGCCTGGATGATGAGGGGAGCCCACAGGGCTTGGTCTGACCCGGGCCACACGTTTCCCTCCAGCCTTGCTCCGCAGCCCAGAGAGGGTGGTCACTGGGTAGAGCCAGGGCTGATGTGGTCAGAGTATGAGTGATTATGGAAAGCAGGCTGTCTGGGCCCGCCCCACTGGATAGACGAGAAAGGCAGCTGTGAAGGTGAAAGCCCAGGCTCTCTCTGGCCACATGATGAGTGTACTAATGTCTATCATAGAATGCTGGTTCAGTTCAGTCTAGTTCTGGAGGGGTTTTGATTGTTGCTGGGGTCTCAGACTTGCCCCCACTAAATGTGCACTGACCCCCTAAGGGTCACTTCAAGTTCAAAGATGGTATGTGGGGCATGGGAGTAGGACCCCAAGGCTGCAAGGTGTTCTCTGTAACAATGCAGCTCAAAGGCTGGGGCCTGGCCTCGTGGGTCTGGCTGAGAGGAGACCCAAGAGTCAGAAGCTTTGGGGTCATCTTGCTCTGCATGACCTGCTGGTGACCTGGACAGACTTCTTTCCTCCAAGAGTCAGAAGCTTTGGGGTCATCTTGCTCTGCATGACCTGCTGGTGACCTGGACAGACTTCTTTCCTCTCCTAGACTGGACTTTGCCGGCTGTGAAAGCCACTGAAGCAGAGTCGGCTGGGATGGGATGGTGCCTGCAGCGGGAAATGCGACAGGATGGGGGGGACCCTCAGATCATCTGCTCCGGCCTTTTTTGCCTTAATAGAGAGATCCCAACACAGGGAAGATAAGGGCACCACCCTTTTCCCTCGGTGTGTCTGGGCTGGGCATGGACCCCAGGGTGAAGCACATGCTGGGGTTCCTTTAGAGTCAGCCCCACCCACCAGGAAATGACCATAGACAAAGCTGAACGGAGAGTCGAGTCAGGCTTAAAATAGCTAAATAAATCTTTAATATTTCTAATTGCAAATGTACAGAAATTGCACAGCCACACAGAGTCTTAGAACACCAACAACTTTCTCTGTACATTATTACATAGGTAATTCACAGCCAGAGGAGGCGCTCCAGCCAAAACTCCAACGTTTGCATTTTTTCCTTTTCACATACTTACAAAAGGGGAAGGGGAGGTGGGATAGGGTAGGGGCAACAGGTCAGCTTTGTGGGTGAGTATGTAGAAAAAAAGGGCTGTTCCCTGGACAGTCTGGCTCCTGCAGACTGATGGGGTGTTGAGGACAGGATTGTATCTGGGGGCAGATACTCCATAGGGTGGGGACGTGGGGGGCTCTCTGGCCTGGCTTTCTCACCCCCCTTTCTAGGCAGTTGGAGGAATAATCTTCACTTCTAGGAAGTTTGGCAGTTTCCTTCACCCTGAACATAAAAAATCAAGCACAGTCAGGCTTGTCAGCAGGGGAGTCAGGAAAGGAGCGTCTGCTGGCAGAGCCCAGGTCAGGCTCCCAGGCCACCCTTCCTCCACTCCCTTCTCCCCAGGACCTCTGGCCACTCCTGCAGGCTGCAGGCTGAGTCCACCCTGGGGTTGGTGGTGGTGTCTCTATACCCCACTCAGAGCTCATGGCCCATCAGTTCCACCCAGGTAGCACATGGCAAAGCCAACAAATAAATGCCACAGGCGGGAAAACACACGAATATCCAAATCCCACAGCTCATCTTCCTGCCCAATACTGTTCTCTAGATTAAAAAATAAAATAAAAACCATCGGGGAGCAGCAGTCTGGCCAGCCCTCGGCAGCACCAGGACTAAAGGACTATGTACAACCGTTAGGTGAGTAGTTACATTACAGTCAAACACCAAGAACATTTACAAAAATTGTCAGACTTGCAAGTAAGATAAAAATCTGTGAAGAGTCTGTACACTTTTACAGTTTTTGCACTAAGGAAGTAAGGCTCTCGGCCTGAGAGCTCACACCACGCCAAAGGTAGCCACGCTGGCCACAGCAGCTGCGCCCTGCCCGTCAGGCCCTGGGAGCCTCCCCCTGTATTGCTAAGCGGGCTCTGTCCGAGGTTGCTCTACGGCGCGTCTGTGGGAGTGGGGTGGGGGTGAGGAAGGTGGGCCGCCAGAGGACATGTCCTTGGAGCCAGGCCCTGCCTGTGTGGCCGCCCTGCCCTGAGACACTCAGACTCGAGACTGTGGACAGGTGAATAGGGTGGACATGGTGGCAGTGCCTCAGGCCCACCTCCTCCTTCATGAGGCCTGTGGCCCTCTGTGCCCCTCCCCATCAGCAGCTTGTGTCTCTGGTCTTCACTGCATTGCAAGTCATAAATCTACAAACCCCTTCCCAGAGCAGCTGCCCATCACTCCATGGGTCTACGATGGTGTGCAAGGCAGCTGGGGGCCACCCTTTCTGGTGGGGACTTAACAGCAACCCTGGTAGCACAATCCCAGCCACACGGCAGGAAGGGAACTGGCACCTCTTTGCAAGGGTTGCCCCAGGGTCCTGAGGCTGTGGGCAGAGGTGGCCACTCCTGCAGGCCTAGCTTGGCTCTGGCTGCCTCAGCAACTACCTCTAGCTCTTGCCCTTAATTATTTAGGGGCCAAGGCGGGAACAGGCAGGAATCGGACCCAAGCCCCTGCCTACTTATGTCCCATGACAGAGAGGGCTGGGCAGCTAAGCTATGGGACAGCCTAGAGCTGAGGAAACCAGCTGAGGCTGTGGGCATGCCCCTGCACTAGGGTCTGCATTGCCTGGGTCCTTGGCTGGGGGCCCGGGAGGGTGAGGAGGAGGCTGGCCGCACACCGGGGCCTGGTGCAGGCTGCTGCTGTCTTGGAGAGGGAGCAAGTCTAACATCCTCCAGGGCCGCTATTTCCCATGCAGTGCGCACGCTCAATTTAAAAGGCCCCTGTGTTCCAGCAAGCGAGCAAGCGGGCTTTTGTTTCTAATGCATACTGTGAAAGGAAAGAAAATCACAGTTATCCACCTTCTCAGGGCCCGCGGCAGTCGAGTCTTTCTCTTTAACTAGCAGTCAGAGGAAAAGTTCACCTGTTCTCAGGGTGAGCACCAGCAGGCCGCTCGGCAGCACCAGGACTAGAGGACTATAGGGCCATGTGCTGCGGACACACTGGACCCCCAGGAGGGGCAGGCACCAGGCATGGGACATCTGGGCCCCTGGTGCCCAGACTTTTGGCTTTTGGGCACCCCAGAGGTTCAGTCTAGGTCTGTGTGGCAAGTGAGGGAGGCTCTAGACTGTCCCCATGGGCCTGAGAGCCACAATCCTCACAGGTTCTATTTGGCAACATATGACTAAGGACAAGGTAGGCAGTAGAAGGCAGGAAAAGAGGTGAAAGGGTAGCATTCTGAGGACAGGTGTGAGAGTCCCGGTGCATAACTCTGGGGGGAGGGTCCTTGGCTCGGAAGGGCCCTGCAGGCCACATGCAGGGTGTCACGGAACTCCTGCAGCTCTGGGCTCTCCCCACCATCTCTCTGCCTGCCCACTGGCCAGTCGGTTCCTAGAAGCTGAGGACATGGGTCCACAGGACAGGGTCTTGGCTGCCAAGGCATCCTGGGCCCTCAAGGAGGCGAGGGGGAGCCCAGGAGCAGGCCCCCAGCTCTGGAATCCTTCCCTCTCCAAGCAGCACCCCCCTGTAGAGGCTTGGGGTACATGCACTTGCCCAGGTCAAGGAGGGAAGGTGACACACACCAAATTCTATAACCAACAGACATGTGTTTGGCGGGCCCTCCATTCCCACAGCTGCCCACACCCAGCGTGCAGTCTCTCCCGCCTGCACCCATACGCGCTTCTTGGGCCAGCAGCAGGGAGCGGGCAGTGAGCCACCTCCTGCAGCAGAAGTCCGCGCTGTGCCCTCTGAGGCCCAATCCAGGACAGCAGGCGGCGGGGAGGTGAGCCTCGGCCTCATATGCCCCGTGCTGGGGCTGCCACTGTGCTGGGGGGGCACTCCTCCCCAGGCCGAGGCCCTGCCTGCGGCCACCACAGTCCTCCCTCTCTCCTTGGGCAGGCTCCTCCCTCCTCGGGCAGGTTAACAATTGCTGCTGTTTCTGAACTCGCCGTTCTCAGTAATCTGCAATTTGGTGGGGTTGGTGGGGGAGATGCCGTTACGGGCTTGCATGCTGTACCTCTCTTTCAGCTGTGTCAGGGCGCTCATGAGACGGGCGTTGGCAGCATCCAGCGAGGCAATGCGCTTCTCCTGTGGGCAAGGCAGGCATGAGTGGGGGCGGTGGGCTCCTGGGACAAAAGGGGACCCTCTCTGCAGGGAAGGAGACCCAGAGATGACCACAAGTGGATCACACAGGAAGGCTGAAAGGCTGAGGAGCGAGGACATCATGGAGAAAGAGCTCCACTATAGTTTGTCTCCACACCGAACTGGGACCAGGGCTCTACTTGTCACCGAAGAGGCAATTCTAGTACAATCTATCAGCATTCCTGACACCTAAGAGCAGGCACTTCACTCACATACATCCGGGTTGGGGGAGCACCAATCCCAACGACGCTGGGCAAGGCTGGACTCTATTCTTGGCCAAACTAGAGGAGAGGGCCGAAACACTGGCTGAAGATGCCTGAGGAGTGAAGTCCCTTCCTTGAGGCAGTTTAGAAGCCATAGCTCTGAGCTCACTGTCCCTCTGCCAAACTGCCGTCTCCTGCTACCAGCTTCTACTTTTTGGTCAATATGCTGGCAAAAGGCAGTGCTTACCAGGGGCCTTGTCATGGGAGAGCTCCCTTTCCTTTCGCATCCTGTCTTAGCAACCTTGTGCGGCACTGAGCCCCACCGTCTGACTTCTCAGACGCAGAGATCCCAGGCTCTTACTCCTCCTCAGCTTTTGTAGAGTGTTTGTTATCTGAGGTGGTGGTGAAGCCAAAGTTCCTCCCTCTCCCCATCCCAAATCTTCTAACACCTGCTGTCAACTAAAGGACCCAAACCCCCACCTGGGCATCAATGATCTTCTGTTTGGAGTCTACAGCTGCTTGCATCTCTGCGTGGTCTTTCTTTAGTTCTTCCTCTACTGACATCAACCTGCAATCAGATATAAAGAGTCAGGCTGGCAATTGAAGGAGATGGCACAAAGGATGGACTTGACCCTTGCAGGATCCCATCATATGTGCACAGAGAACACTATGGAGGACTCATTTTAGGCCACATTTCCCATACCTGTTAGAGGCCTTCTAGCTGCCAGCACCCCAACAAAAAACATGGGCTTGGTCTGCTCTCTCCTTGACCTCTATGTCCACTATTTCTCAGAGAGTCTATTTCCAAAACTTCTGACAGCTCAGATGTTCTGCCAGGAGCTGGGTTGGCGAGTGCTAGAGCCTCCCCAAACTCCATGAGCAGAGGAGGGTGGGTCACAGGGTCAGGTGGGAAAACAAAGGTCCTGAAAGGTTCTGGCACTTTCCTCCTCTCCTCTCTACCCATCTGTCCACCCATCCACCCACCCACTCCCTATCTGCTAAGGACATGGGGGACGCTGAGCTGCGAACTCAAGATGCTAAGAGGAGTGATGTGTAATCATTCCCTTTCACGGGTTCACACGCAGAAAGGTAACGATCTGCAGACAAGCTGAACTACGGAAAAAGCTGTGACTACGGAAATGTGTGACCAAAGGAAGAGACATCAGGAAGGAGCTTCCATTCCTGGAGGGTGAAGCAGGGGGCTCAAATATTTGAAATAGAAGTCTGAAAGACAACCAGGTGTCTGCAGACAGAGCCATGAGCAGAGATGATGACAGGAACACGACCTGCCAAGCCTCAGGAAGATAGATCTGGATCAATCACCAGCTCATTTCCTGCATTTCTTCTTACTTACCTCTGATCACTGCCAATCACTTCTACCTTCCAACTCTCTTTCAGCTTCTGAACTTTATGCTGCTCCCATGATTGCCTCATCTCTCAGGCCAAACCTCTGCAGATGCCCTATCTTGTCCACTCCTAGTGGCCCAGTAGAATTTGTAGTGCAATCCCAAAGGCTTGTGGTTTGAATCCACCAGCTGTTCCATGGGAAAAGGATGGGCAATATTCTTTCTTGTGATTCGCTGCCTCTGAAACGCATTGGAGGGCCAGCTATGGACGGGTTCTGACACCGTGGCACACAACCACCCTCTTCAAGATGGACCGACACACTGACTAACAATGAGCGTGAGCTTCTCAGAGCTCGTGGGAATGGTGCAGAATGGGACAGGGCCATCAGTATCAGATGTATTGGCCATAGCATGGCTATGAGTCACAGTTGACTCAATGGCATCTGAAAACAACACAGGGCTCTGGCCTTACCCCTCTATTCTTATCACTCTACACACTCTTCTCGGAAGAGCTCAGCTACTTCCAGGGCTTCAGGTTCATCTCTACCCCGATAGTTTCTCCAGCTCACCACAGACCCCAAATGACTGAGCAAATTCTTAGCCTACCATACAGTAGAAGTATGGAGAGGTTAAAAATGGGGAAACAGATACCACACAAGGCTGTCATGAGAAGCTGATCAGGAGGGCTATGGGGCCATGCTAAGATGGGTTCCTTGTTACAAGAAGATGAAACATAGAGAAAAGCCTGTAAGAAGTGGGAGAAGGAGTATCATCTGACCTCATCCAGAAGAGAAAGTACACTGGACAGCTGCTTCTGAATATGATGGAAGAATAAGGATTAGATTCACTCGTTAACTCCTATTTTTTAAAAAGCAAAATAACAAAACCACAAACCAAACAAACTACAAAGTCAGACAAAATGAATGAAATAAAGGCTCACACCAAACAGCAGGCAGAGTGTGGTGGTCCCTGAGGTTAAAAGGACAGGAGAGCCCGGAGTGCCCTACTCACAGCGTGGAGTTAGTGGGCTAAATAAGAGAGTGGGGACTTACACAGCCTAGTGGTCTCCCTCGTGAACTCCTAGTGAACTGAGGAGACACACTGAGCCCATGAGATCTGTGTGGTTACATTTACAGGCAGAGAGCCGGAGAGGGAGCTCCACAGAGAGAAATGACTTACTCTTCAAGGGGCTCGAGTCTTTGGCTGAATTCTAGCCTGCACAAGAGTTTGACGATATGACCAAAGCTGGGAAGAGCCATTGGAATGGAGAGCATGGAACAATCCCCAGGAATCGTTCACAGGCCTTCCAGCTAGAGGGGAAACACTTGCTAATACACACAGCACTGTACTGTGCGCTCAGGAAGAAACAGCTTCAATTGTTGGGCCAACTTAAGCCTAAACATAAAGGCTATGCAAGGAATCCTGGTGGCCGCCAGGAAACTCCTGAGCTCAGGTCTCTGCCATGATGCCTCTAGCTCCTGGACTTAACAGGTCAGGAGCATGGCCAGCAAGCTGGCACCATCCACGTCACTGCGCTCCTTCCTTCTCTCGGTTGTTGGCCCCTGCCTGGTTCCCGAGCAGCCTCCTTGAGAGGTGGAAGTTCTATGTTCAGGAACCACCAAACAGCAACCTAACTGGGTGAAAGTCAGACTGACCTTGAGCACTGCAGCCTTCCTGTGGGGCTCTCTAATCAAACAACATAATGAAGATGATTTAGAGAATAAAAGAAGAAACGGACTGGAGTAATCGACTTAAATATAGTCGGTTCCATACAGTGATTACAGCAGTTCCTCTGCACTCACTAATTTTTTGACTATAAATGAGAAAGAAAGGAGTCATATGTGAATACAGACTGTCATTTTTTGTTATATTGTTAAGTGGACAAATAAAAAATACCTCAGGAAAAAAACCCCCAAAACAGTCTCTAAGTGTGTGTATGTGGTGGGGAAGAAATTCTGGTTAGCTAACTATAGCTAGCCAAAATCTTGGTGGTTCATATCCACTAGCCAGTCCATGGGCAATAGAGAGTCTTTTCCTGCAAAGATTTACAGCCTTGGAAACACAAAGGAAGATAGAGGTTTTTAAAAGCTGCATAGGAATCAGGTTAGCAAAACTGAAAAGTAAGCCTCGATGGGATCAAATGGATTCCAAGTAACCTCAATGTATCCCTGAGCAAAGACCTAAAATATTTAAAGGAATGCATACCAACCCAAAGTACACACTGTGTGGCATACAAACGCACACTACCAAGTACATTAAAAAAAGGAGGAACGAGAGCTCACAACCAGGAGGAAAAGTCACTCATAAAAACAGACTCATAAATGTCAGAGGTGAAAGAATTAGCTCACAAAAACATTAAAACACTACTATAAATACACTCCCATATGTTCAAAAGAAATGATCAGACAAGCATAAGACAGAGCAATAAGAACTGTCTACAATGAACAGAGGGGAAAAAAACCCCAACAAACAACGAACGGAAAATAAAAACAAAAAACAGCATCAGTGAAATAGGGGATAGCAAAACCCATCGACATTTATGTGGGGCAGTGGTAGTCTGGTAAGTAAGCAGGTGCGCTGCCAACCCAAAGGCACGTGATCTGAACGCATCAACTGCTCCTTGGGAGAAGGATGGGCGGCAATCTCCTCCCATGTGGTTTACAGCCTTTGAAAACTCACTGGAGGGTGAGGTGAGTTATGTATGTGAAGAGTATCTCAAAACCAGAAGGCAGCAGGCAAAATGATAGCCATAGTAATGGCCAGAAAATTTCCACGTCTGTTAAATAATTCATATCCACAGACCCAAGAACAAACAGCACACAAGGTAAAACTTGGCAGAAAAGTCAATGATACAGAAAAGCTTAAAACAGCCAATGAAAGAAGAACAAGGTAAGAATAACAGATCCTGGTCATTAGAGCCCAAGGGCCCAACTGCATCCTCCCGTGCTTCATAAACAGCCATCCCACGAAAATGGTAACCGCAGAAAGAGCTGTTATGACAGAGACCACAAGATAAGACTCAAATATTTACCATCTGCTCCTTTAAGAGCTGGTCAAATCACTGCCCTAGAGCAACCAACAATAAAGGAGAGAAAAGGGAATTATTTAAAAACACTCAAAAAAGACAAGGAACAAAGAACAAGTGGTACAAATTGAAAATAAATCATAAAACAGCAGATTTAAATGAGGTTATATCAATAATTACATTAAATGTAAGCAGTTTAAACATTCCAATTGAAAGGCTGAACCACTCAGATAAAAAGCACAAGACCCAGTAGTAAGCTGTCTGTGAAAGCCAGCACAGCTGAGTGGAGTGTAAGGATAGAAAACACAGCACACCACGATAACACGAACCAAGAGCAAAGGTGGGGTGGCTGAAATGACATCAGACCAAGTCTATCTCAGAGCAAGAAATACCATCAGGGATAAAGAAGATCCTTTCCTAAAGGATGGAACACTCTTCAATGTGTACAAAACCTACAAACATTTTTTGTGTAAATGAAGCAAAACTCAGTAAAATGAAAAAGGGAACAGAACAATCTAGAATTATTAGAGATTTTAATACCTTTTCTCATTAAATGATAGAATGAGTTGACAGAAAAATCTGTAAGGATATAGAAAACAGCACTACCCACCAAATGGACCTAATTGTAGGGAGGAAATATAGATTGGTTAATAAAAACAAAGGTGTTAAGCCACTGATTTTTACCTCTCCAAGAAGAGATAAAATGAGGAGAGGAGGTGATTAGGCTGAAAAGCATTTTCATTCTTGGAACCACAAACATTATGTGAGCCAAAGACATAGCTAGAGGTCAAGTAAACAGTGGGTTTCTGGTCACTTCGATTATAGGCCCTCTGTTCACATTAACTACTTTACAATGAACAAAGCCACAGGTAAAGAGAACAAACAATAATTAGGAGCAGAGAAACAGGTTGTCAGAATGGAAAAATTTGGGAAGGAGTTATGCAGTGAACAAAGGATGAGGCTAAGACAGGGAACGAAGTTAGGCAGTGGACAAAGGATGAGGCTAAGACAGGGAACGGAACTTCTTGGCTATTACACATCTGTCAAATGCTAAATGTATCCTGATGATGAAGTCTTTGAGTTGTGCAAATAAACAAGCTGGTAAATCCACATTGTCTCTCTTCCCAGTACTATAGTTGCAGGAAGCAAACCCTAGAGTTGGAACCCTTTGGTGTGGCAGAGGACACTACAACACGGAAGCAACCCCTGCACCCTGGGGTAGTGGTTATCCACCTACCCACAGGGACAACACAGGACTTGACATAAGCCCCTACTATAGACATGAATTAGCACTAAAGCCAGCTGCGCTCTGCCACCTGGAAGTCTACCCTCTTCCCTGGAATAACTAATGTTCAACAAATTCAGCATGGGCATTCTCATCCAAAACGCTCCTATATCAGGGGTCCCCATCTGAGTAACTTGGCACAATGGCACAACCAGACAATTGCCTTGGTAGGAATCTGGGCACTGTGTTTCCTTCCTGTCTTTCACCCCTGTCTTTGTTCAATTCAGTTAGTGAATATAACTGACACTTCTTCCCACCTTTCTGGTGCTAAATCAAGTCCTCACTGTTGCTCCTAAAGCAGCATCCGAAGTCCTCTAGAAGGCTTAAAATGACTCTGTCCAGGGGCCACACAGCATTCCCTGAGCAGGCCTTGGAAGTTGGGTTCAGCCTCTCCTCTGCCATCTCTACCAAAGGACACTGCCCAATGTGGGGCACCCCATGTTCCCAGCTCCCTCTGTTCTGTAGCTGACAGCTAACCTGCTGCCTGGGACATGCCTCTCTGTCCACATCTGATGCCTCTTCAGTGGATCAGCCCCTCCTCTGGATGAAGGACCCTTCTAGGCTCCCTCAGAATCTGAATACTCCTTGAGGGGAGTGGACAGATCCGACCCATCTGTGCCTGGGGGACCAGGACTGGGCCCAGAACAACACAAGCCTTGCCCTCACCTGCTGATGATGCCTTTCATCTGGATGTCTTTGTCTTCCTGCTGCCGCCGTAGCCGCTCCTCACCCTCCTCCAGCCGCGCTTGGTATTCCAGCACCAGCTTTTGCGTCGTCTCCTCCTGGCACTTGAACAAGGTCTCATACTCCTCCAGCTTCTTGTTGGAGATTCGCAACTTGTCCTGCAGCACTGCCAAGTCCTGCCAGGAGGGTGGCATGCCATGGGCACAATACCCAGGACAAAGAGAGCAAGCACAGTTTCATTAGCCTGAGTCAGAACATGGAGTGGGTGGGAGTCCGACTTGGAATGTCCCATGAACTGCGATCCTGTCTGTCACATGGCAGTGAAGGAACACCCAGAGAGCTAGCCAGAGTGGGGCAGAGGTGACATTCACATCCCTGTAGTCATCTAGTGGTCTTTCTACCCCAAGCCCTTCCCCTCCAAGCCACTGCTTTATGGCTGTGAGGGGGGATAAAAATGGAATCCCAAATTTCAGGAGTAGCAGGTCCATAAGCTTTTCCTAAATAAATATATTAAGGACTTCAGGCAGGTTTCTGAAAGGAGACTGTACTGAGGCTGGAAGGTGGAGTGACCGAGTCACATGGAGAGTGACTGACCAGCAGAGTAAGATATCTCAGCCTTCCAGTCTCTCTGGGAGGGGCTGGCAAAGGGGAAGGAAAGAAGAGACGGTGAGGTTAAAACCAAGGTGGTGCAGGACTCTCTGGACCCAGCACAGGCCTCAGCTGTGGAGGATGAGCAGCAGGTGGGATGCTATGGGGATAGAGAAGCAAGGAGCAAGGTTAACACTGGAATCCGGAGGGGCCAGGGCTGGTGGGAGAATAAATACATGGGCTGAGGAAGACAGAGGAGGCAGTCCTTGTATCCCAGGAAAACAGATCCCAATGCATTCACCAGCAAGGGCCCAGAGTCAACAAATTCACAGAGAGCTGGTGGGAAGAAACCCTAGCCCCACTGCACATCGAACCCTGGATCAAAATTAACCTCAAAGAGAAGCTTGGCTTTAGAGAAATAGCACCAGCCCCATGCCAGGAATTCTGGTTGAGAATGGATCCTCCCTGACAAATGAAGACCAGCTCTTCAGAGAGTCCGGGGGTACATTGGCCTCCTGGATTTGATACAGACGTCAGCAGGCAGAGAAAGGTGAAAATTACATCTTCTGCCTGGTCTTTGAGGAGAAACCCTAGCTTCTAGCTTTGGTGGCTTAGTTATAAGGAATTGTGCTGCCAACACAAAGGTACTGGTTTGAACCTACCAGCTGCTCCACAGGAAAAAGAAGGACAATCTCCTGTAGTATTTATTGCTTCTAAAAACCTACTGGAGGGCCAGCAAGTGGTTGGTTCTGATTCAACAATACACAACAACAGCCTGACCTCTGAAATCAATTGACAATCCCTGTGTCACAGACGGGAATTCGAGGTTAAAAAGACAGAGCCTGGGCCTAGATTCTCGCAGGAAGCCTCAGGTGAGGCTGGCTTCCTACCCTCCCTGGTCACGTCTGCTCTTTAGAGTGCTATGCCATGTCTCCTGGTCCCCTGAAGGTAACCATGGTAAAAGCGTGTGGATGCAGCAGACCAAGGGGATGGAGCAGGGTTGCAGGATGCAGCATGGAGATGGTCCCTGCCTGGGCCAGGGGAGGGAGTCCTGCCATTCTGACATCCATGCGCTTGCTTGATGGTCATCACTCTGGGGTCTCAGCTTCCAGAGGCAGGTGAGAATCAGCTGGTGACTCGGGACAGCTAATAAAGCAAGGGGGGAAACTTCTGAAGAAGATCCTGGAAGCACTAATGGCCCCACCAAATACTTGATGTATGTGGTGGGGATGGAATTTGAAATTTTTTTGGAAAAAAATTCCCCCAAGAGGGATAAAAAAAAAAAAATCTCAGTGGCAATCTGAGCCCCATCCTTGGCCCTGGAAACTATGCTGTGTCTTTCCCAGGCCCCTAGTTGTGACCTGGAGTGGAAAAAGCCAGGCCTGGAACAGGCACAAACCCTCAGACAAGCAGAAGGGACTCAGCAGAAGAAGGCGTTGGGGGGAACTAGGCCCCCAAGCCGTCCTGAGCACCCTTTCCACTGCCTCTTCAATGCATGAGGATCCCCTCCAAGGATCTCCATGCACCAATGTGGCACCTAAGCCCTCTAACCCCAGGATTCTCAGAAGCTTGGCCAGAGGCCCCCAGGTCTGATCACCACGACTTAGAAATGTAGACTCGATACAAGTTCCCTGGGTGATCCTGATGTACAGCTTGACTAGGACACCTTAGATCTAGGCTAAAGTGCTCTTGCTGTTTCTCCGCCCCTTAGATTTCATTAATTCTGCTGTCTTCATGAGATATAGGGTTGAGAAGAGGTTAGGTAATCAGGGGAACAAGCAGCACCCCCTTTTGAAGGCACTTGGGAAGAGAACCCTGCCAGCTGCGTCAAGGAGGAAGCCCCACCCTGTCCCCAACTGCCAGGGTTCACCTTTACCTTTTCTGCTTGGCTGAGCTCCTCCTTACTCCTTAGCCTATCCCTGTGGGGGGGGTCTGGGCCCAGGCCCTCGTCTTCTAACAACTGCGCGTTCATGGTCAAGAGCCAAGCGGCCGTGCGGTCCAGGGCATTGGGGCTCACAGGTGAAGGGCCCTACAATGAAACACAGCTGTGAGGGGCTAGAGGTAGACAAGGAGGGGGGAAGGGGGAGGGACAGAGGCTCTGAGGCATGGTAAGAAGGAGGGCTTACTGACATAGCCCCAGGGGAGGATGCCTAGGACACCTGTGCCCCTGAGGCACCATGTAGGTGGGATGAAGATGTAGGGAGCACTAGGCTAGGTGTTCAGCCAACAGCACATCTATCTACCCATGTACAGGGTGCAGCCCTTTGGTGATGGGGTACACCTATCCTCCCCAACCAGCTGCTTCTAGAAGCCAGCTCAGCCTGCAAGTGCTCGGAAGCCTGACTGCTGTTCTGGGTAGGACTTCCACAGGCCTGGAACTGGTGATGGTGAGCTCACTCTTTCTCTCTGACCCCAGCCTGGGCTTAGGGGGACTGGAATCTTCTAAGGCCATGTCCTGGATTCCAGGATGGAGGCACAGGGCCAGCAGAGCAAGGGGGCAGAGGGATGGGGGTGTGTGTATGTGGCAGCCTGTGGATGGGGTTGAATGCAGCACCACTGAGCATGGGATGGGCGCAGGCGCAAGTGAAATGAAGAGGCAGGAGGAGCATGACGTGGTGTGGCAGCCCCGCCCTGCCCCTCTGCCCAGCGGCACTGACCTGTTTGTGCACCACGCGAGGCTTCAGCTCTGGGCTGTCACCCTTGGAGGAGGAGGACTGCTGTCGCAGGCGGGCTCCGGGCCCAGCCCAATCAGGTGAGGCTGATGCCAGGGTTCCACTTGAGGGTTGTGGGTACTGTAGGGTGCTCAGCAGGTTGGGTGGTGTCCGGCCACGGGGAGCAGGGGGTGGTGGAGGTGGTGGTGGAGGTGGCTGATCAATCCTCCGCTGGGGCCCGGCACTGTTCTGCCGAGGCACCGTAGGCTGCCCGCCCTTTTCAGTCAGTGACATCTGCCGCCGTGCCAGTTCCCCAGGCCGCCGCGCTAGCTCCTCGGCGGCAGCACTGAAACTGCCCAGCTTGGCAGCAGCTGCTAACTCCTCACTGTTGCTGTGCGAGCTCAGAGAGCTGTGGCCCTCAGAGCCCGAGTCGCCAAGGCCACGCGGCGACAGCGGCAAGCCAGCTGCCATCTGGTACACAGGGTTCTGGAAGGAGAGTGGTGCCAACAGCTGGGGCCGGCCGGGCGCACCCTCCGAGGTGCCTGGTGTGGTTGGTGTTTGGCCTGCCCGCTGCACTGTGGCCAGCCCTGTTAGGTTCACTGGCGCTGCCCGGGTGGGCCACCCTGCCACCAGCTGAGTTGTAGGCACCTGCCCATCACTGGTGAGTGTGTCGGGGCCAGCCGGGGAGCCTGCCTCCCCATCCAGGGTGCGGGCATCTTGCAGGTCCACCATTGACAAGCTCTTGCCACCATTGGCCATCTGCAGATCAGGCTCGTTGGCTTCTGAATAACTTGAGCTGCGAGCAGGCGAGGGCTGGACCCCGGAGGACCTTGTGACAAAAAACAAGTCCTTGTTTTCGGGGGTTGGAGATGGTAACCGGGTGAAATCTATCAGACTGCAGGGAGACAAGCACACACAGGGAAAGAAGGGGGAAAAGAAGAACTGTGAATGCAGCCAAGGCGGGTCCGAACCGAAAGCACCTGCCAACTTGCCAGGGCCTGGCAGGGGAAGGGAAATGGGAGAGGGAGGGGCTGGGGCAGCAAAAGTGGCAGTTCCAGGACCAGGTGGCAACTCCAGGTGTAAACTCCAACCACAGCCAAGGCAACTAAACCTTCCAGAAATAGGCCAACTGGTCAAACAGCCGCTCCTAGGAGGACCTCTGCTCTAAGGGCTCCAAGCTGCCTGCTGATGGGCCCTTTCTCTGCTCAGCTATGCTAGGTTCTGCAATGTTCTAGAAAACGCCCCATTAACTAAACTCAACCGCTCTCTGCTTTCTAAGGGTCCTGCACTGAGAACAATGACTTTAGTTACATGGCTCCTTTTCTCTCCAGCTTCTAAATCAGACTGTTAACCTGAGCGGGGGCCTGCGGAAGCCTCCCCCTGCCCAGCCTCCTGCTGCCACTCCCTGGTTTGACTGGCAGGCGGGGGCTGGTGTTCCTGCCAGAAACAGGGAATCCGAGGAGGAACCTTTCAGGGCATGGCTAAGGGGGAAGGGACTATTAACCTGCAGGAGAACACTCAAGTTCTTTCCTTTGGTCTTCCATACTCTGCTCTCCTCCAAGGGAGTTCTGGTGGCCTAGTAGTAAGGAGCTCCACTGCAATCCCAAAGGCATGTGGTTCAAATCCACCAGCTGTTCCATGGGAGAAGGATGAGCAATCTCCTCTCGTGAAATTTATTGCCTTTGAAAACCCACTGGAGGGTCAGCTATGAGTCAGCACTGACTCGAAGACATATAACAGCAAGTGGCCTCCTCACCACCCCAGTCTTCGAGCCTCAATTTGCCGTTCTATAGAAACAAGCTCCTTAAAAGCAGGCCCAGCTGGTGGGAACCAAATGGACTGTAGAGGGGTGCGTGGGGAGGGTTAGTGCAGTGTGAGCAGGACTCTGCATGGGCTGGAGGAAGCCCTGACAAGAGGTTTATTAGAGCCATCAGCCAGAGCTGGCTTTTCCTGGGATGAGAAGAACCAAGTTCCAACTGATGGGCCTTAGACAGAGCAGGCTGCAGCAGTACAGAACCACAGCATTTCTGGATCGGGTAGAACCAGACAAGGCTAGAGAAACCCTGAATATGCCACCCCTCAGAGGTCTCCTCATGGCCACACAAAGTGTCCCCACCTGAGTGCTGTCTTCTTGACCTGGCAGGTCGTAAGAATCCGTCCCCATTCCAAGCCTCAGAAGGACCTGGGTACTCCTGGGCCTTCCATCTTGGGTACCACATACTGTACCTCAACAATTTCCTCTCTCTACAACTCTGCAGCTGCCACCATCTCAGAATGAGCCCCAGCTTCTGCCTCTGCTGTCCCAGCCCCACCCTCACACAAGCTGGTCTACAAAGGGTCCCTGGGGTGGGGGCAGGGAAGGAAAGAGGGGAGCATAAATAGCTTAACATAAATAAACACCATCGTTTTTGTTTGTTTTTTTTTAAAAGGGGAAAAAATGTCCCTGTTTTGACTTAAACATGCCGAACTATTTTGCCTTCCTCCTCTGTGGTGTTTTGTTTCCACTGCCTACACTGCTGATGTGCTGGTCATAGGGTGGGGCCTGGCCTCTGGCAGCTATGTTCTCTGGGAATCCCAGCCTCAAAGCCTGGCAGAATCACCCAAGCGTCTGTTGAAAATACACAGTCCTGAGTTCTACTTTTGGAAATTCTCATTCAAGCCCAAGCTGGAGTAGAGAACAGGCTTTTTTTTTTCCATTTAAAAAAAATTTTTTAAATTATTTTTGTGTGTGTGTACCGTCAAATCGGATCTGACTCGTACAGGAGGAGACTGTCCCTCCTCCCCTGGCAGAGCATCTGGTGGATTTGAACCGTGCGCCTCTGGGATTGCAGTGCAGCTTCTTGCCACTAGGCCACCAGAGCTCCCCGAGAACAGGCATTTTTAAAAAGAGCCCTAGAGATTGGATAATGCTGCCAAGTTTGGGCCAAGTAACTGCTTTTCAACATATCACGTCATTATTCTCCAGGCCTCTGCTTGTGCTAGCTTCTCCATCTAGACCACTTTTTCCTGAAAGGCACAAAACTTAAGTGCTACCTCCTTCAGGAAGCTTTCCTTGATTCTCCCAAGCACATGCACAATGCATTTAAGTCTCCCCCAGGCTTGTTCACACACCTGACTAGGTGTCCTCCTCCCCAGCCTGAGCAGGCAGATGCGCTGTGTTTTATCTGCACGTGCACGCCCACCACGCCCCAGGATGCCCAGCAGTTCTTACCCTGAGAGATCGTTCTCAATCACCATCTTCTGCAACCCAGCTGAGATGCTGCTGCTGCCAGAGCCAGGCGTGGAGGCCAGGTCATTGGTCCCCATCAGCTGCCCGCTGGATGGGATACTCAGTGCTGTGTGGACATCCCTCAGGATCCGAGGTAGGGGCCCCAGTTTGGAGACAATGCTCTGTAAGGACACAACGGGAGGCTCGTGTGACCCAAGAGGGAGACAACAGCTGGAGAGCTTGTCAGAAATGCAGATACCTCACTCTACAAACCCAAGTGGAACCCAACGGGCCTGGGACATGAGGGAAGCCCAGGATCTACAACTACATTTTTACCAGCTTCCCAGTATTTCCACGGTGGAGTACACGGCCCACACGGAGAACCATCGGTACCTAGTGCAAGCCTCTCACCCTCGGCTGTTCTACCCCCGCATCCTCGCAGACAGAAAAGCCCACACGGAAGCTCAGGGTTTCCCACACCTGCACTACCTCATCCAGGAGGCTTCTGTGATAACCCTCCACCTCCTACTGCACAGAGGAGGCCCCAGCAGAGATGGTCCAGGCACAGAGGGGCACCCTAGCTACATGCTGGACAAAACTACAAATGCACAAAGGCAGAGCTGGCCTGCCTGGACTTCCCTTTCAGTTTAGATGATTCGTATTGAGGTTTCCAGGGTATGCGGCTAAGCCTGGGAAAGGGGTCTTTGCCTTTAAATGCTTGCAAGACTTATGTGTATATGTGTATATGTGTAATGTGTATATGTGTATATATACGCATATATATGTGTATATATATATGTATATATAAAAAGTTGTGAAAACTCCTGGGGAGGGTTGACCCACAGGAGCTAGTAGGTCAACCACTGTGGCATTGTTGGAAGTATGTCATTCACTTATAAGGCAGGAGTTCAACAAGCTGACTTGAGGGGCACACAGGAGTTTTCACAACTTTTTTTTTAAATATAAAGTCTTGCAAGCATTTAAGGGCAAAGACCCCTTTCCCAGGAGGGGCAAACAGCTTGATTTCAATTGCTTGCTGTTCCACTCGTACCTGAATGTGCACACTAACCTCCCTTCCCACCTGGATGTGTGTTGGCACTAGCATCACTGCCTCCTCATAGGGACCAGTAAGTGTAGGGGTTACAGTACTGCAGGGACTCAGGTGTGAAGTGGGAGGGGCCAGGTTTCACTGCCACTTGTCTTCGCAGTCAAGCACCAGGAACGTAAGTGAGCAAAAGGCATTCTATTTGATTATAACTCAATCAAACCTTTTTTTTTTTGTTAGAAGCTAGGACTGACCTAAGGGTCCACCAGGCACCAACAACAGAACAGTCTGCAGCAGCTAAAAGGCCACAGCAGTGATGGAGTGGAATGGACATGGAAGACTGTCCCCAGCCAATCAACTGAGAAACATAGACTGCAATGGACACAGTTCTCACTTTTAAACAAACAAGAGAAAGA